ATGAGGATATCCCGAAGACAACATTCCGTACACGGTATGGACACTATGAGTTCCTTGTTATGCCTTTTGGCTTGACTAATGCTCCAGCGGCATTCATGGACTTAATGAACCGCGTTTTTCACGATTACTTGGACCAGTTTGTGGTAGTTTTAGTGGATGACATTCTTGTGTATTCACGATCTCGGGAGGAACACGAGATCCATTTAAGTATTGTTTTACAGATTTTGCAGGAGCACCGGTTGTATGCCAGATATGGGAAATGTGAGTTTTGGCTACAAGAGGTGAAGTTTTTGGGACATGTTGTTTCAGAAGGCAGAGTGTCAGTTGATCCATCAAAGATTGAAGCTGTTTTGAATTGGGAGCAACCTAAGAATGTGTTTGAGATCCGTAGTTTTCTTGGTCTAGCGGGTTACTACCGGAGATTTGTGAAAGATTTCTTCCGTTTGGCAACGTCTATGACCCGTTTAACCCGGAAAGCGATTAAGTTTGCATGGAATGAAGCCTGTGAGTCATCTTTCTAGGAATTGAAGACAAGATTGACTACGGCTCCAGTGTTGGTGATACCTGAGCGTGGCTTGTGTTATGTGATCTATTGTGATGCTTCACGTGATGGTTTAGGGTGTGTGTTGATGCAGGATGGTAGAGTAGTGGCTTATGGGTCTCGACAGTTGAAGACTCACGAGTACAACTACCCTACTCATGATTTAGAGTTGGCGGCAGTTGTGTTTGCTTTGAAGTGTTGGAGACACTACTTGTATGGTGAAAGATTCGAGGTGTACTCGGATCATAAAAGTCTCAAGTACCTTTTCTCCCAAAAGGACTTGAACAATAGACAGAGAAGATGGGTTGAATTCTTGGAAGATTATAATTTTGACTTGCAGTATCATCCGGGCAAGGCAAATGTGGTAGCAGATGCCTTAAGCCGGAAATCTCGTGGAACTTTGGCCTGTCTGGTTATTCGGATGTGGAAGATGCTTAAGGATTTGGCAAAGATGGGATTGTATTGTTTTGATGACGATGTTGACAGCGAGCCGGCATTCTTGTTTAGTCTTATGGCTCAGCCTACTCTTGTTGTACGAGTGATTGAGTCACAGAGATAGGACCTGGATTTAGATGCCATTCATGCTTTAATCTCCAGTGGTGAGACAGTGAAAGATTGGGCTTTGTATACAGATGGGGGTCTACGGTTCAGGGGTTTGTTGGTGGTTCCTACTGTTTGTCGTGAGGACGTCTTACGGGAGTTTCACACTTCCCGCTTTGCAGTTCATCCAGGTGGTACCAAGATGTATCACAATTTGAGACGTCAGTATTGGTGGAACGGGATGAAAAAAGATGTTGCACAGTTTTTGGCTAGATGCCTTACCTGTCAGCAGGTGAAGGCCGAGCATCAGAGACCAGTCGGTTTGTTACAACCATTACCTGTAGCGCAATGGAAATGGGAGCATATTGCTATGGATTTTGTGACACGTCTTCCAAGGTCATGAAGGGGCAATGAGTCCGTATGGGTCATCATTGACAGATTGACCGAGACGGCTCACTTTTTGCCTATTAAGGCAATAGATGATGCAGAGAAGCTTGGTATTCTTTATGTGAAGGAGATTGTAAGGTTACATGGAGTTCTAGTAACCATTATTTCAGATAGGGATGCTAAGTTCACTTCGAAGTTTTGGGAAGGACTTCAAGCAGCGTTTGGCTCAGCGTTGCACCTGAGTACGGCATTCCATCCACAGACTGACGGTCAATCGGAGCGTACTATCCAGATTTTGGAGGATATGCTTCGGGCATGTGTGCTTAACTTGGGTGGTAGTTGGGAGGATCACCTTCCACTTATTGAATTTGCCTACAACAACAGTTATCAAGCGAGCATTCAGATGGCTCCATTTGAGGCGTTGTATGGTAGACCTTGTAGGTCTCCTATTTGTTGGACTGAGGTAGGCGAGACAGCCGCCTTAGGACCTGACATTGTACTCGAAACTACTGAGAAGATTAAGTTGATAAGACAAAGGTTACTTACAGCTCAGAGCTGACAAAAGAGTTATGCGGATAAGCGGAGACGGTCGTTATCCTTTGAGGTGGGAGACCACGTTTTTCTTCGGGTTTCTTCACGGAAGGGATTGATGAGATTCGGGAAAAGTGGCAAGTTGTCTCCACGATTCATTGGACCATTTGAGATTTTGGACCGTGTAGGAGAGGTTGCATACAGACTTGCTTTGCCACCACAGTTAGATAGGGTCCACAATGTTTTCCATGAATCGATGTTACGAAAGTACGAGCCAGATCCATCTCACATTTTGAGTTGGGTTGATGTAGACATTGATGAGGATGTTTCCTACGAGGAAGGACCAGTTCAGATTCTTGACACACAACAAAAAGTGTTGAGGAACAAGATGATACCAATGGTGAAAGTCCTTTGGAGACACCACGGAGTCAAGGAGGCTACTTGGGAGCTCGAACAGGAGGTTCGCTCCAAGTATCCAGAGTTGTTTTCTTCTCCAGGTATGCCTTGATTTCGGGGACGAAATCTTTTAAAGTTGGGGAGAATGTAAAGTTTTTGACTTATCTATATATATAAGTAGTATGATGACTTTTCAATTGTGGGGCCCACCTGAGATATAAGGGTCATTGCAGACCCATTTAATTCCAATTTGCTTTCTCTCTCGGGCAGCTCATATCTCTCTCTCTCACTACTTCTATTTTTTTTCTTTTCTTTTTTCTTTTTCAACTTCAATCCTTGATTTCTCTCTCAATTCTTGGCGGATTTAGGTGCCGTTTGAGGCAAAACGACGAGCTCTACGTGCTAGTACCAGAAATTTCAGCTTTTGGTCCTCTTTGGGAGCTCGAATTTAAGGACCCATTTTAAGGGTTTTGTGCAATCTTGAGGTAGGGGCCCTTAACTCATGATGTTCTTGCTCTTTTGTGAATTATACCTCCTAAATTGTTGAAAAGCATGCTTATTTTTGAATTAATTGTATTAAAGATGATGTAAATGTTATATGTGAGGTTATGATTAAATGTGTTACTTGAGTTGTATGAGAACATGTTTATTTGACTAATTTCCTTGTCTGATAAATTGATTTACCATGCTTATATTGTTGTAAAACTTGCTAGAACGATATGGGATGGCATGTGTAATTTTTCTAGAGTACTTGTAATGTATGCACAATTGTATAATGTGAAAGCCTTCACTTCCATGGCATTAAGAACATGATGTACATGCATACCATGAGACATGATTGGGAAGATTGTTTTTGAAATGAAAATAGGGAGTTTTGGGGAAAAGTATTTTGATGAAAGTATTTTTGAAAAACCCGGTCGCCGCGGGGGTACCAAAGGGCCGGAGTGTTAATATAGCCTAAAGGGGACTAGGAAGTCGCCCTAGCGTGGTTGAGCTAGCTGGGCCCCATAATGACGCCGCGGGGTTACCAAGGGTCAGGGACACTAGCCAATCCTCCTCTCGTGTCGCTCACCAAAGGGCGGGTTATATTAATAGTTTGAAAGTGATGGATTTTAAATGTGAAAACGAGGAGCGACATCGGCATGCATTCGCATTTCATGGCATTGCATTGTTTGTACTTGAGTTTGATTGGAATGTTGTATTATCCCGATATTGTATGATCCCCATTCCCATTGACCTATTTTATGTTTGGATTCACGGGGACACAAGATGCGTGTCTTAAGTGTCACCTACTGAGCATATAGCTCACCCTGCATACTTATTATTTTTTTCAGGTCATGGCAAAGAAACGGCGGATGACAATCCTCCGCAAACTTGAAATTTGTTAGAAGGTTGTTTGCTATTTTGTATTTTGACCATTCTAGGTATATTCATAGTTGTGGAAATGTAACTAAGTTAGTATTTATGGCCTTGTAATTTAAGAACGAACTTATCTTTTGTTTAATGTAAATGAAACTAATGGAATCATGGTATATATATTTCCATGTAATTGTATCATGTAACGTTGTAAGACACGGACTTTAGATCTTAACCATGTATTTTGGGACTGTAACTATGATAACTTGGATTAATTAATGTGTGCATGTTCTACCATGAGAGGAACTATGTTGAGGTGTGATGAATGGGATGCTGGAGTATATTTTTTTGTTTTGTGTATTGGGACAGGTTGTTGAAGGCCCATTTTTAGGGGAGGTTATGCCGAATTTTTTTTTAAATTTTGGCATCAGCTAGGGTCGTTACAGTTAAACTGATGGAGTTTTGGATTATCAGATTCTAAGTATTTAATTATAATGGATTTTACTTTTAGTTTCTTCCAGCTTAAACTTTATTTATTAAATTCTTTTTGTCATCTGTGTTCGATTAATTATTAATTGTTTGATATCCTTCGGATCTGTGCTCGGACTTGATCACCCGTGGCTCTAGAATCGAGGGGTATCACATTATCCCTCCTTGTGGGGACAACTTTCGGGGGAATCAAGTCCCTAAGAAGTGTGTCCTCATCATTTAGCTCCTTCGGATTGGAGCTGGAGCTCTTGCCAACATCACCCCAAGTCGATCTAAGGCCAACTTCCCTAGTTTCCTCACGCCGTGACATCGTTCTATAAAAAAAAGAAAACAAATCAAATATTATAACACTAAGGTCCAACCGTGAACATCCCAACGCAAAAAGATATTGTACAAACATTTAGCATGTTATGCAATGAACACATTAATATAAGCATATAAGCACCTAAGCACGTAAACAAGAAAGCAGTTAAGCATGCTTTTTCACATAGCAAAACACTTTTGCAAATAAGGAAATAACAATGCACATGACTTCCCAGACAACCCTAGGTAAGCCTCTACCCGTCGTCCTAATGGTATTCGAACCATCACTCTGATACCAAATTTGTAACGACCCTAGCTGATGCCAAATTTTATAAAAAAAATTCGGCATAACCTCCCCTAAAAATGGGCCTACCACAACCTGTTTAAATGCATTTTTAACCTGTCCCAACACAATAAACATATAATACATTCCAACATCCCTTTCATCCATTCATCATGCCTTAACTTAGTTCATTCCATAGTGGTACAACCACATACAATATCATCCAGATAACATAGTTACAGTCCCAACATACAAGATTAATATCAAATGTCCATATTTTACAACATTTAGACAGCTCATACAAAAGTTACACCCCATAGATATAATTATAATAACAAGAGTCCACAAACCTTTATACCGAATATAACAAATTAAGATTTTACAAAAATATGGGACTTAATACAAAAATAGCAAAAAAAAGTCTTCTAATCCAAATTAGGCCTGTGGTGGAAAGTAATCCGCCACTTCTTTCCCGTTACCTGAAAAAAATTATTAAATAATAGGGTGAGTATAAAGCTCAGTAGGTAGCACTTAAGACACGCATCTTGTGTCCTTGTGAATTCAACCAAAGAATAGAGCAATGGGAATGGGGGTCATACTATGCCGGGATCATATAACTTAACAATCAACTCAAATATAAACAATATAATGTAATGTAATGGGAATGCAATGCAATGCATGTCGATGTCGCTCCCCATTTCCACATCTCAAAAATCATCACTTTCAAACTGTTAATACAACCCGCCCTTTGGTGACCCCGCAGCGACACGAGAAAAAGATTGGCTAGTGTCCCTGACCCTTAGTACCCCCGCGGTGACCGGGTTTTCATAAAACACTTTTCATCAAACACTTTCCCAAAATCCCCCTTTTTCATTTCAAAACAATCTTCCCAATCATGACCCATGGTATGCATGTATGTCTTACTTTCACAATGCCATAGAATTAAGGGATTTTATATTTCACATTTGAACATACTCTACATATATTGAGGAAAAATTACACATGCCATCACATATCATTTCTAACAAATTTTACAACAATATAGGCATGTTATATCAACTATTAGATAAGAAATTAACCAAATAAACACGTTCACCTACAATTCACACAGCCTATTTAATCACAACTTCTCATATAACATCTACATCATCCACAAGACAATTAATTCATAATCAAGCATGCTTTACAACAATTTAGGAGGAGTAATTCACATAGGAGCAAGAAAAACGGGAATTAAGAGCCCCTACCTCCCTTTTGCACAAAACCCTTAAAATGGGTCTTGAATTTCGAACTCCAAGGAGGGCACCAAATCTGGAATTGTTCGTATGGATGTGTAGAGCTCGTAGTGGGCTTCATTTTGCCTCAAACGGCACCTTAATCCGCCAAGAAATGAGGGAGAAATCAAGAGATGAAGATTGAACCAAAAAAGAAAAGAAAAAAAAGAAGCTTAAGGAACGAGAGAGAGAGAGAGAGAGAGAGAGAGAGAGAGAGAGAGATGAAGATTGAACCAAAAAAGAAAAGAAAAAAAAGAAGCTTAAGGAACGAGAGAGAGAGAGAGAGAGAGAGAGAGAGAGCGCCTTACGGGAAAATGAGAGAAAGCAAAAAAACAAAAGCGGTCTCATGACCATTTTAAGTGTCTGTGAGTCTGTGAGTCCCGCCCATTTATATAACTTTTCTCTTTTTCTTTTTCTTTTACCTTTAAATTACACCTCACACACACAAATATGTACACATATGCACACATAAATATAAGACAGACATTACCTAAAAAAAAAAAAACTCTTAAGTTGTGTTTGGTGTTAGGAACTAAACCAGGTGTTGTAATGGCAGATGAAGTGAAGTTGCTTGGGGTTTGTCGAAGCCCTGCTAGTTGCAGAGTTGAGATTGCTCTGAAACTAAAAGGTGTCCCATATGAATTCATAGAAGAAGAAGATCTGTTTGGGAAGAAGAGTGATTTGCTCCTCAAGTCCAACCCTGTCCACAAGAAAATCCCTGTGCTCTTGCACAATGAAAAGCCCTTTGCCGAGTCCGTCCTTATTCTCGAATACATCGACGACACCTGGAAAGGCGGCCATCCCATCTTGCCCAAACATCCTTATGACAGAGCCATGGCACGTTTCTGGGCCAAGTTCATAGATGACAAGGTATGTTCTGTCTTCAATCTCTATGTACGCATCTTACTTTCGAACACTATATATTGTAATCATTGTATATATGGTTGCAGTTTTTGTCATTTTCAACCTTGGTTTTGGAATTAACAACTTGGCTCATTTGGCTCATGGTTAGAAGGCATGACTTATAAATGCATTATTGTGTACACCTGACCCCACAATAACGGGAGCCGCCTTTCTTAATCATGTAGCATCTGTCAAATTTTTTGCTGCCATCTCTAGAATCAATACATGATGGTGTTTGCCCACTGATTAGAAGTAAACTAAGACACCATAGTTTTCAAGAAGTTTGGAATCAATTTCATGTTCAAAGTAGAATTTTTATATGGACTTTTGTAGAAAGGACTGTTGGCTACTTATAATTTTCTAGAAAATCAATATATATATATACATTGTGTTGAACCAAAACACAATGTATATAAGATTCTCATGAATAACTCAATTCAACTCAACAAAAATACCTGTCTAACCATTTCGATCGTCTATAGTCATAGTTTTAGTTTTTTTAAAAATAAAACATTAAAAATTTAATTTTGATACTTCCCTTCTCCTAACATTACACTCTATTGTAAGATTTTTTATACATATTGCACAAAACTAAATTTTGTACTGTTTGTTTTAGTGCTACACTACAATATGGAAGGCGAATTGGAGCAAAGACAAGGAGAAAGAGGAAGCCATGGCAGAGGGATATGAGCTCCTGAAAACCCTTGAAAATGAGCTCAACGGTAAGAGGTTCTTTGGTGGAGACGATATCAGATTGGTTGACATTATGGCTAATGTCTTCTCTCTCTGGGCTAGTTTGTTGCTGGAAGTAAGTGGAACTGAATTGCTGACAAGGGAGAAATTTCCTGTTTTATTTAAATGGATCGATGAGTTTGTTAATTGCAGTGTTATCAAGGAAAGTCTGCCTCCCAGAGATACACTAGTAGACCTTTTCCGAGCTCACTTTGGTGGTGATTCCAAATAAGTAGTTTACTGATGCTGTTTTTGCTGGTCATAGTCTGTGAAAATTGTGACAAATAAGCACTACACTGTCACAAATAAAACCCTGTCTAGTGTAGTGTGTAGTATTTATGTCAGTACTGTTTTGTGTTTGTTTGAAAGTTTTAGTACTTTTCTTTGTTACCATGCAAGTTTATTATTTCGTACTCTTGTTTCATTTCATTATAGATCAAAGTGATGTGTTCTGTTGGCAAGGTTGTTCAATAATATCCCAAGTAACTTTTGTATTAGTTTGTGCTATTTAAAGCTGATTTATTAGATCAAGTGAGCATCTGAATGACTGAACTTGAGATATATTAACTGAATTATTTTAATCCTGGCTCAAATACTCCTTCCCAATTGAGCAAATAGTCCTTCGCAATCCTGTCCACAAGACATCATAAGACTATATTAGTAATTTAGCAGTAGCCCGAATTCCGTGGCTTAGGGTAAACGGGTAAATTGAAAACTACTGTGCCCTAAATCCAAGTTCTATCCCCAAAATCCCAAACCTTATTGTGCCTTAAATCCAAACCCGAAAAAGTCAATTGAAGACTCTCTCTGAGACATTTTGGGATGCATAAAGTAAGAACATTTTCCTTTTTAATTGGTATCAGAAATGTGTGCACATTTGAGCTAGTCCTAAGTAATAATAGTGAAGAAGTTGGGATTGGTAGATATTTGAGAATAATGTGATGTCAACACTTTCCAATGGTTTTGAAACTTGGCATACAATTATGGTGATACCATATTGATCATTTGTATATTTGGTGAGATACTATCACCATTTAATTAATTAAATATTTACCAAAATAACATGTTGCCATTGGTACCACCATGAGTATGTGGGTGGCCAAGATGGGAATGGGAATGGGAATACATAAGGCGATGGCACAAAAAGTTGCAATCACTTACTGCACAATGTGGGAGACAAGCCAGATGACAAATGCTCTGCTTCTTCCTGACTTTCGAATGTTGGAAAAAAGCAGCTAACTGGTTACGGTATTACAATGTGAAGTTAGAAGATATTGGTCTCATTTTGCAAACAAATCAGCCTACCTTCTATGTAATTGGGCTTTTAACAACCCATCTTTGGTTTTAGAATGGAGAATATTTGGCCCAACTGGTTTTGTCAAGCTCTGTATGCTGAGAACCATTTTGCCACAAAAGAGACGTTGTAATGAGCGAAGTTGGTGGTGTTGAACGTTAGAACTTGGAATCCCATTTAAAGTCAAATGGATAATTCAGGATGATGTCGTTTTGACACCAACGAAAAGTCTTAATATACTAGGAATCAGAAGGAACTAGAAGGACAATTGCCCATAAATTTCTTGTCTTTTGTTTACGTTTGAACAATAAAATTTATAATGTTATCAGTACTTTAATATTTCAAGGATTAAATATATATATATTAGGATTAGGTTGAAGGATAAAGTGGGTGAGGTCACCCAATAGGTCAGTTCTTTAGGAAATATATCATTAATGAAGTATGTATCCTCTGACTAATTAAAGCTGCGTAGTCTTCTGCAAGTGAAATTATACATCATAGGACACATAATTCTTCTCAATCAGCCCGTTTTTACTTTAACGTTCTACACACAAATAAAAATTTAATTTTACGGTTCTCACGTTCTCATTTTTGAATTCACTCTCCTCTTATTCCCACTTCACTTAGTATACACCTTTAACCTTATCCTGCATTTAATAACATAACATGTAATTCAATTTTTTTATTAACAATTTTTATTACTGTTAATAATTTGGATCATGTTTTCAAGTCTTTCTCCAATCATCTCCTCTCAACCTCTATATATATATATATATATATATATATATATATATATATATATATAGTTGTTAACTTTTATACAAAATTTTATTGATAGATCCGCGGCATTTACTCCCAAAGTTATACGAAATCAGTTTTCTAAAATGATGGATTAAAGGGTTCACAGTGAAGATTTACTTTACCCTCTCTCTCTCTCTCTCTCTCTCTCTCTCTCTCTCTCTTGTTTCCCATCTTTCCATATTAATTTCAAAGTGTAGAAGTCTCCAACCAACAATTTCATAAGATTTTACTAATGAATGGGCTTGGTCAAAATATTCATATTATATTATTATACAAATAGACAATCTTGGTGGCTAAGTAACCAAATGCTCTGCTCCCTCTATAAAAACTTAGCAATCCCAGAATCAAAACCCACATCAGAATTGGAAAATATAGTAGTCTTAAGTTGTGTTTGGTGTTAGGAAACTAAACCTAGTGCTGTAATGGCAGATGAAGTGAAGTTGCTTGGGGTTTGTGGAAGCCCTTTTAGCTGCAGAGTTGAGATTGCTCTGAAGCTAAAGGGTGTCCAATATGAATTCATAGAAGAAAAAGAAATCTATGGTAAGAAGAGTGATTTGCTTCTCAAGTCCAACCCTGTTCACAAGAAAATTCCAGTGCTCATTCACAATGGAAAGCCCATTTGTGAGTCAGTCGTTATTCTTGAATACATCGACGAGACCTGGAAAGGCCATCCCATTTTGCCCAAAGATCCTTATGACAGAGCCATGGCACGTTTCTGGGCTAAGTTCATAGATGACAAGGTATGTTCTGTCTTCGATCTCTATAGACACATGATACTTTCAAACACTATAGATTGTATAGTTGTAGTTTATGTCATTTTCAACCTTAGGTTTTGGAACAACTTGGCTTATTTAGCCGAAGGTTTAGATGGCATGACTTCTACGGCATCATTGCGTACATCTGAACCTCCTCATAATATTCCACAATAGTAGATCTTTTTTAATTATAATTATAATTTTGATACTTCCCCTCTCCTAACATAACACTCTATTGTAAGTCTTTTTATGCATATTGCACCAAACTAAATTTTGTACTCTCTGCTTTAGTGCTTCACTACAGTATGGAAGGCGAATTGCAGCAAAGACAAGGAGAAAGAGGAAGCCATGGCAGAGGGATATGAGCTCCTGAAAACCCTTGAAAATGACCTCAAGGGTAAGAGGTTCTTTGGCGGAGACGATATCGGATTGGTTGACATTGTGGCTAATGTCTTATCTCTCTGGGCTGTTTTGATCCAGGAAGTAAGTGGAACTGAATTGCTGACAAGGGAGAAATTTCCTGTTTTATTTAAATGGATCGATGAGTTTGTTAATTGCAGTGTTATCAAGGAAAGTCTGCCTCCCAGAGAGATACTAGTAGGCTTTTTCCGAGCTCGCTATGGTGGTGGTTCCAAATAAGTAGTTTACTGATGCTGCATTTGCTGCTCATAGTCTGTGAAAACTGTGTGACAAATAAGCACTACACTATCACAAATAAAACTCTACCTTGTGTAGTGTCTAGTATTTATGTCAGTACTGTTGTGTGTTTGTTTGAAAAGTCTAGTACTTTTCTTTGTTAGTATGCATGTTTATTATTAATATTATTACTCTTGTTTCATTTCATTATAAATCAAAGTGACATGTTCTGTTGGCAAGGTGGTTCAATAATATCCCAAGTACTTTTTGTATTAGTTTGTGCTATTTAAAGCTAATTTATTAGCTCAAGTGAGCATCAGAATGACAGAACTTGAGATATATTGAATGAATTATTTTAATCCTGGCTCAAAGAGTCCTTCACAGTTGAGCGAAAAGGGTAATATATGACAATTCCCATATTTTTTGGCATCCGATAGGATATGTAATGAGTACAATGTAAAAAGGATTTAATTAAAAACAAGTCCTTCAAAGGTTTTATCAATCGAAATAAATAAAATTACTTGAATGTTTTGCAGTCATGGTTGTGAAAAAAGGCAAGGGAAAAAAAAGTTGCTATCAGTTATTGCAGAATGTGGGAGACAAACCAGATGACAAAGCTAGGATTTTTAATGCTCTGCTTAATTACCAAAAACAAATGTAAGAAAACTTTTGAAACCTTGGGAACCCATTTAATGTGAAATAAATGGATAATTCAGGATGATCAATGTCATAATAGCAAACGACATCAATTTGACTCTAATGGAAAGTCGGCTTTGTACTACTGTAGAAGTTAACTGGTGTTAAATACTGAAATCAGAAGGAAAATTGCCATGTGTGAGTGAAACTATACACCTTGACCTTGCTCTGCATTTAATAGCTTAACATGTGATTGCATTACCTTATTGACCATTTTAATCACTGTTTATAGTTTGGATCATGGCTTCAAGTGTTTCTCCAATCATCTCTCGCCAAATAAACAAATGCAAGCAGCATGATAACTTTGATACAAAAATTTCACGATAGATCCGCGATGTTGACTCCCAAAAAGTCAATAAATCACTATATATGCTCCCTCTATAAAAACTTAAAACAATCCCAGAATGTAAAACCCACTTCATAATTGGACAACATAGTACTCTTAATGTGTGTTTGGTGTTAGGAGACTAAACCATGTGTTGTAATGGCAGACGAAGTGAAGTTGCTTGGGTTTCATGGAAGCCCTTTTACCTGCAGAGTTGAGATTGGTCTGAAGCTAAAGAGTGTCCAATATGAATTCATAGAAGAAGACATCTTGAACAAGAGTGATTTGCTTCTCAAGCCCAATCCTGTCCACAAGAAAATTCCTGTGCTCTTGCACGATGGAAAGCCCATTGCCGAGTCTCTCCTTATTCTTGAATACATCGACGAGACCTGGAAAGGCACTCCCATCTTGCCCAAAGATCCTTATGAGAGAGCCATGGCACGTTTTTGGGCTAAGTTCATTGATGACAAGGTATGTCATGTCTTCTCTATATACTTGAACCAATATAGATTTGGAAGTTGTAATTTATACCATTTCTAACTAGGTTTTCAGATCCACTTAGACCTTTTTCATCTAAGGCATATATGACTGGACGTAGAAATAAGACTGCGTATATCTGACTCTCCCAGATTCCAGAAAAGGGGGACCTTCTATGCTAGACTAGTCTTTTTATAATTAGAAGTTGTTTGAACATGTTAAATCAGGTTGCTCTGTCAAATTTTTTGCTAGACCATCTCTAGAATTAATACATGGGTTAGTGTTTGCCGACTGATTAGAAGTCAACTAAGTCAGCATAGTTTTCATTATACTGTGTGTTTTAGTATGTGACTACAATATGGAAGGCTAATTGGAGCAAAGACAAGGAGAAATAGGAGGCCATGGAAGAGGCACGAGCTCCTAAAAACCCTTGAAAATGAGCTCAAGAGCAAGAGGTTCTTTGGTGGAGACAGTATCGATCGGATTGGTTGACATTGTGGCGAACTTCATAGC